AGAATACAGATTTTTTTTAGTTTAAATTAATATTTCATATTCAAATCTGAAACAATCATTACACGATGACGATGGCGATGATATATTCTCTGAAATAGAGGCAGTGGCGGTTATGGCTGTGTTAGATATCAGCGTTCTCTACATAGTGAAAATATTAATAACAATGGTAGACAGAAAAACACACATAAATGAATGAAAAAACCTAAACATGAGCTTTGTTTGTATGCATGAGCTTGTTCTTATTTGTGGTACTAATAATATTCAACTAACAATGTGCAGATGAAGAGTTAAAAAAAATAATAATATCAGAATGTTCAAACATTAAAAACTATTTTTATATAATAAATAAACACTTTAAATATAATGATATAATGAATTATCAATAAGAACTTACAATATAAAAATAAAAATGTTACAGTTATAATAGTGTTAAAAATTTTAATTTACAATATTATTTAAGAATAGTTTATTATATTAACAAAATTTATTAATTTTTATAATAATTAATTTTAAAGTTATTTATTATATATTTTAATTATTTGATGATGCATCAAAGCTAAAATCTTATAATAAGCTAAAATTTGATCAAAATATTTAATGAATGATTAATTTACGAGATACATATTTATTTATTTATTTTGTTTTTATTTTTAAATTTTTGTCAAGAACAGAAAAACTTCTATGGACAAAAACGTAGTGCATTAAAATGACATTTTTCTCTAACCTTTTTGGTTTGTTTTTTTTTTTTTTCCCTTCTACTTGATGCGAAAGAAGGCCTAAAAGCATTTCAAAAGCTGAACCAACTTACTATCCCTGAGCCCACTGTTCACCAAGGTGTAAGCCCAATAAGAAAATTCACCAGTCACACAAAACAACAAAGGGTTTGCTTTTTGTTTTTGTTTTTTCTTCATAAATACTCTATTAATAATAATAAATTATTTTAAATTAATATAAGAATGACCACCATCATAATTTAACTTAAAAAGATAAGCTTGCCGTACTCTAAGAAAGTTAGACCGTAGACTTTAGTCAGACAATTTGACCTATTTTTTTTTCTTGAATCATTCTTCCAGATATACAAATGATTGAATTATAGTTGAATATTTGTTTAAATTTAGTGTAGAATAAAAAGAAGATATTTTAATTTAGTTTATTTATTTAAATAAATAAAATTTAAATCTTAAAATTGAAATAATTGTATAAGATTTTATTGTATTTATATATTTTTAACTTGATTTATTTGATAGTAAATTCACCAGTCAGACAAAACAACAAGGGGTTTGCTTTTTTTTTTTTTCATAATTACTCTAATAATAATAATAAATTATTTTAAATTAATATAACAATGACCTCCATCATAATTTAACTTATGTTAATTATTAAAATCACCGTAATTGAATATAGATAAATGATAAATTGCTCCGGTTTTTTTTTGAGTGTAGGTTACATTTTAAGTTTAAATTACTGATTTATGTTATTTTTATTGCCAAGAGAATGCTTTCAAAATTTAGATTTCCCAGAATTTAATTTAGGAAATATTTAGTTTTATAGCTACCAAAATTAAAGTTCCAGAGGTATTAGTATTAACAAGTTTCCACAACTTTAATTTCAAAAGTTACAAAATCTAATATTCTAGAAATTCAATTCCAAAACTCGTATAAAAATAACAACAAAAATATCTGATGAATTAGCATACTAATTAAAAAAGTTTATTCACAAAGATGTAAGAAATTTTTTACTGTATAATTACACAATATTTAACATTATGATTTAATATAAATTAGTTTTTGTTGAGTCAAGTAGTTATAAAAAGGTTAGATGAAAAATTTATGAAAGAAATTGTAGATTACAATGATGCATTTGTCATTAAATGATCGGTTTTCATCTTAAATTTATTAATATTTAGACTTGTATACCTTATATTTATTTTATTTTGTATTCTTTTCTATCCAAGATGATTTTTTGAAATAAACTTAAGAAATTAGAATAAAAAATAGATTTGTAGTCAATTTTTATAAAGTCAAACACAAAAGATAAAGACAAAAAGAAGTTAAAATTAGGTTATGAAAGTATAGATGATATAAAACAAGTTAGTACAAAAGGTAATTGGATCTAAAAAATGTGAATGTCTTTTCACACTAAGAGGAAAAACTAAATATAAAAAAAAAATGGTGAATTATCAATGCTTAAAAAGTATTGTGCAGATTTCATAATCATGAAAGTGCAAAAAAATTAGTAAAACATGTACATGTTAGTCAACTAAGTTGTGAAGAAATTTTTTTTCTTATTAATATAACAAAAAAACATAATCAAATCATGAGGTATATTGTTTACATTAAAAGATCAGAGTAAAAGTAACTTTACAATTATCTAACATATGTATAATGTTTATCATGCATATCAAGATTCTCAAAAATATTTTAGAATTAAAATTCAATAACTAATGAAATTATTGCAATGTGATAAATACATGTATTGGCATTTAATAGTTATAATATCACATATCCAAATGCTATAAAATTATTAAAGAGTTTTGTTAACCTAAACCCTTAAAGCTGAGAATAAACAGCTAATAGTAGTAAAATTTTATTAAAAAAAAATATTTATTGTATTTTTATAACTTTAATATAACAATTATAACTTAATTCACTTTTACATTTTTTGTTATATTCTTGTTTGATGTTTGAGTAAAAAGATAGTTTTACTTTAATATTACTAAATTTGAAAAAATTAAATTTAACATATGTTATGATATCTAACATCATTGTGACAAATAGTAATATTGTTTCGATGAATACAATATATATTTTTTAAATATAATTCATTTGATTGCTATGTTAATTTCAGGTCTTTAAAAATGTAAAAGTCAAAGTAAAAGATTACATTATATACTAAAGAAAAATGGGACTTAATGATAGATACATGCACAAATAGTATGAATTCACACTAAAAAATATATCATACTTTGTACGGTACCACATGTTACTTTTTAAAGTACACTAGGGTGTGATACATATCACACTCCTGTGTTAGCTCTTTTCACTATGCTTCATACATTAAAATTAGACATATAGCATGTTCTAAATGCTACATTTTAGTATTAAGATTTAAATATTTATTTTTTGTTTTATTTTAACTAAAATTTTAAAATAAAATTTTTAAGTTTCTTTTATATTGATTTAGTTTAAATTCAAAATTTCAATTTTAATTGTTATCTCAGTTTGATTAAAGTTTAAATTCAAATTTAATTTATTTATTCTAAACTTTAATTAAAGTGAGAGAAACAAATAAATTTAAAATCTAAACTTTAGTCAACATGAAAAAAATTGGAATTTAATTTTAATTTTTTTTTAAATCACACTAAAGGATAGCATTTAAATTGTGTTGTGTGTCAAATTTTAATACGTAAACAAGAAAAAAAGTTACAAGACATTAGAATACGACAAGGGACCATGACTATTTTGGAAGAGTGTCACATGTTAGCATAAAACGTGTTGCGCTTCGGTATAATGTCTGTATAAAATGAGATAAATACAAGTCACACTTTAGTGTGTATTTTAATTTTACTTTTTTTAATACTTTTAGTGTTTAAATTATCATATTTTAGTTTTTTTAAATTACCCATTTAAGGACATGATATGATAAAAATAATAGGAAAAATAAAAAAAATTAAGAAAAATCCTACAAAAATATAAATATTATTATTGTAAAACTATTTATACAAATGCAGTTTTGGGAAGAACTTATTCGTCATCTTATAAATTGAGATAAAAATAAGGTAGATTAAGCTAAATTTTATATAAGTAACTCTGATTTATTTAATAATTTTAAAATTTTAGTCTAATTTATTATTTTTATATATTTTTTATTAAGTATTTTTTTTTAAGGTTTGATTTTATTTATTAATATTTTTAAGGACTTATTTTATCTTAAGATCTTTGATAAGTAACTCAATTTATTTATAAGTAGGCTATCAATTATATAAATAGACATTTTTTTTATAAAGGACATAGGATTTATATTTAAATAAAGTTAAAAAATTGGTTCAGTACTTTAAATATTTATAATAAAATTACATACTCTTATTTATTATTTTTAAATCAAAAATTTAATTTAAATAAATAAATTACTAAACGTGTAGACAAATACAAATGCTAATCAGTGTAATATGTATAAAAAATATATCTATCAATAGCAATGCAAAAAAAACAAGCGACACACACTCTTTTAAAAGATGTAGTAGAGACACTTTCCAATTATAAAGAAAAAGATTATAATTTCTAATTTAAAATTTTATTTATTATAAAATATAATTTATTTAATAAAATATTATATTATAATTTTTTAATATATTATTATAAAATTTATAAGCCTTAAATAGGTTATTCTATTAAGTCTAATAATTTTTTTTAACCTCAAGTCAGGTCTATTCAATTAATTAAGTTTTAAAAATTTTAAATTAAGTCTGTTACTTAGATAAATAAGTTTGTTGTATTTTAAAAAGGTTAGATTATATATATATATATATATATATATATATATTTTACTTGTAGACAAGAAGTAACAATACATGCATGTAGAGGATTGAATTATAATTGAATATTTGTTTAAATTTGGTGTGAAAAAAAAATATTTTAATTTTCTTATTTATTTAAATAAATAAAATTTATATCTTAAACCTAGTTTAAAATTGAAATAATTGTATAAGATTTTATTGTATTTATATATTTTTAAGTTGATTTATTTGATAGAAAATTATGTTAAAAATATATCATATATAAATATTTTTAGGTTAGTGACAATTACGAATTATAATTAAAGATTAGTGTAAAACCTATTAAATTTGAAGATACTTTTTGATTTTTTGTTAAAATAATTTGAATGCAGTTTTATTTAATATTTAATGGGCTTTGGGCTTGTTATTTGGGCCTTCAAGCGCAATTGTGACATGCATATGCACGCTTCAGCCGAAATAAGTCTTTGGAAGCATTGAAGAAGACCCGAGTTTACATCAGAAGCAACCCGTATTCAAATAGTGGCATAGACGAAGTGGTGGTTCAGCCGTGCGAACCGCCGTCAAACTTCAATTGAAAACGAAGAAGAAAAAGAGAGGAGAAAGGGAATGAAGCTCGACGTAGATGTCTTGAGATATCTCTCCAAAGATGATTTTAGGGTTCTCACTGCTGTTGAATTGGGCATGAGGAATGTGCGTCTCTTCTCTTACACCGTTATATTTTTCAAATTCCAATTTAATATATATATATATTGTTGTTCGAGCTGAAGTTAATGAAATTCTTCCATTGTTGCAGCATGAAATTGTACCCACTGAACTCATCGACCGAATTGCTCGTCTTAAGTATATTTCATTACTCTTTTGTTTCGCATTCGATATCACGTTATTATTATTTTATTTTATTTTATTTTAATTCCTAATGTTATTGTGTATAGGCATGGGGGCACCTACAAGGTTTTGAAAAATTTACTCAAGTACAAGTTGTTGCATCATGACTCTTCTAAATGTTGGTACCTTAATTATTAATTATAAAAAATAATCTTGATCATTGTGATAATAATAAATAAGATAAGGTATATTAAAGTTTATCTCGATGACCCTCTAATATGTGGAAGGTTACTTTGGTTTTAGATGATGGATTCCGCCTTACCTACCTTGGTTATGATTTTCTTGCCATTAAAACCATGGTGAACAAAGGAGTGTTTGTGGCTGTTGGTCGCCAAATTGGCGTTGGAAAGGAATCTGGTACGTTAGTGTTCAGATGTGGTGCCCTTGCCTTCATTCAATTTGCACTCATTTGCTCATATTTATGGCATTTTTGCTCTGCTAGATATATTTGAGGTGGCCCGTGAAGATGGAACAGTTCTAGCCATGAAGTTGCATAGGCTTGGTAGAGTCTCTTTTAGAGCTGTCAAGTCTAAGCGTGACTATTTAAGACATCGTAGTAGTTATAATTGGCTCTATTTGTCTCGCCTTGCTGCACTTAAAGAATTTGCTTTCATGAAGGTTATCCCTTCTTCCCCCCCTTTTGTCTGTCTAGTTGTATATTTGAATTATATATTTTTTGTTTGACATTCTAGTGACACGTGCTTTGCTTGAGCAGGCTTTGGAAACACATGGCTTTCCTGTTCCAAATGCAGTAGAACAAAATAGACATTGTGTGGTCATGTCACTTGTCCAAGGTTACCCTCTGTAAGTGTACTTGAATTTTGCTAACTTTTAAAGTTTTCTCCTTCTGTCTGTTGTTCTTAAGGCTTTGTTGTTTGTAATCTTTAACTCTTTTTGCTGGTTTTTCTAAGCAGTTGCTTGATTATTCTATTTGACTTTTCAAGTGCAGTGTTCAGGTAAAGCAGTTACAGAATCCAGAGACAGTTTTTGAGACAATTATTGGTCTAGTTGTTCGGCTGGCAGAGCATGGTCTCATTCATTGTGATTTCAATGAATTTAACATCATGGTATACTTGAATTACTTGTGCTTACATGCGAGCATAATGATTGAAAAGTATTCTAAATTTTATTTCATGAAATCTGTTATTCTGTTGGTTTTCACATCTGGTTTATGCTTTGAATTGCTTTCATTGTAGATTGATGATGATGAAAAAATTACAATGATTGATTTTCCACAAATGGTATCTGTGTCACACCGTAATGCACAGATGTAAGAGTCTTCTCCTTGTATGATAATCTTTCTCATAATTTTGTTTTTGTCACAACTCTGAACTGAACCTGTCACTTTGCTATGTTTTGTTTTTGCTAAAAAGTGTACAAGATCTGCACATCATTTGCATTTTAATCACACTTCAGTTAGAAGTTAATAGGCTAATATATAGTGTGTTCAAGTAATGAATCTTTCTTTACCCAGAAAGAGTATTTCTGTAATTTATATATTAATTTATCATGTAGATACTCGTATCTTCACATTTGTATGGTATAAAACTAACATGATTTACATTATATATTTAATTTCTAGATTTATTCAATTCATTTTACATCTCATTCCAAATTATAAGGTAGCAATTTAATTTTGCCAAAGCAACTCATGAGTTAGAATATGCTAATTTTTAAAAAATTTCTAACATTTTTTTGGGTTAATAGGATAAATTTACCTATATAAGTTTGTTACTTATCAATAGAGAGTAGCATGTGGGCATATAAGTTTCATACTTTTTAAGCTTAAAATCAATATTCATAGTAAAAATCAATATTCATATTATTATTTACATGTAGATATGTTAGTTCCCACAAACTATCGCCACCCAAGACACTCCTGTGCCAATCTACCTTTCATCTTCAATAGCATGCAAGGAGTTTTTAAACAGCTCGGGCTCTGTTGCTTGAAACTTGTCACTTCTTTTCCCCCTAACCTTCACCTTCATATATTTTTCCATTCTGCTCAGTAAACCTAAAAATAGCTTGCAGAAGGTTGTCAATTGAGATATATCATCAGTAAATAAAATAAAAATCCAAGCTAATACGGTTTCCAACAGCAAATATGAAATAGAACAAAGAAAAGAGGAAGAGAATAACTGTGATTCTATATTAATTACAGTAAAGAACATACAGAAAGGAGAAAGACTCCTTACTGTCCAGAGCAGTGCTCCTAATAGAGAAACAAATATGTTTCCTTTACCCAAATGCAACAAAAACAAAATCATCTCCCCTGATCATCCATGATTCCTATATAACAGAAATATCTCTTTTTTTTTCTCTCTCCTCTAACTGCCTTCCCCCCATCTCTCATGCCACGTCAGCTCCTCCTATCTTCCTACGTGAATACACAAATAGCTGCTTGGGATTGGATTTTCCTTCATGGGCCAAAGGCTCAATTGACCCACTCAGGAATGGGGCCTTATCACAAGCAATATCAGAGATGTATAGGAGTGCTACATAGCAAGTTTTTTATTCTTTATCGAAAGATAGCTATCACCTTTTTAAAAGAAAATCCATTCTCTGATAAATAACTCTCAAAATAGGGATCAGTAATTTTGACCTCATTCCTTTTAATTCTGAAAGCAAAATGGATGAAACTAACAGATTAACAAATTAGAATATGTCCTAACATAAACTGATAATATCATAAAAAAGAGAGAATGCAACAATAAACAAGCAAGGGAATGGATTCAGATCATTTTCGTCATGTGGATGGAAATTACATGATAAAAATGCTAGCATGTCATGTCAAACCTTGTCTTTTTCCTCGTTGACAATTTTCATCTTCTCCAACTCACACTCCCTCTTAATGTCATTAATATTCTGTTCAAATAATGCAATTTTCATGTGAAGTTAGTGCACAATTCATCAAGCACCTATAATAGGTGACCAGTTATATAAAAGACCTGACCATTTCTATGAGATATTTCTTTCAAATGCCTTGATAATTCTAACTGCTTATTCTTGCATTATGTTATATACATCCCATGGTAATCTCATTTGTTCCCATTGACTGCTCGTCTAAAATATACATTCTTGCAGTCATTTGCCAGTTGTAAAATGATGCTATTAGTCAAGAATCATTGATAAACTAGTACAGTGATCTTAGCACATGCTCAATTTAGTTTATTATAGAGATGAATACTTTAATGAAAAAACTTTTGAAAAATCAACAATTATTTCTCTATATTTAAGTTAAACCAAATGTGCTATTATCTTGATTTTGTCCAACCCTCCTTCTAGATTCTTGTGGGATATGGTGGATGAAGAAATGCTATTCAATCTAGAAATGTACAGCTTTATTGGCATGTGGAGTTGTATGCTAATTATTGCAACACATTTCATGATATATGTTATGATGAAAGATGAACATCTAATTATACCATTACTTTATGCCGAAAGATGAACATCTAATGCAATAGTCATATGCCTTAGTAAATGGTGTTAATGGAAAAGTCAGTAATTAATTCTTCATCTGTAGATTTTGAACAAATATATTCTATTTCTGATTTAACTGAATATTATTTATCCTTATTTCAGGTACTTTAACCGTGATGTTGAATGCATCTTTAAGTTTTTTAGGAAGAGGTTTGTTGTTATTTTAATTTTTTTCTTTTTGTTTATCTAAAGAATTTAGTAATTTTTTTTTCCATACACTTGTAGTACACATAGTACTTATGGGTATTGCATCTCCTATTTTGTATTAAATGGCTGATATATCTTTGGTTGCTGAAGTTGTTGAAAGATTTTGGATCTAGTATTTGGCTGCTCAATCAGTTATCTTCATATTTGACTACTCATCTTCTTGATTTCAGGTTCAATCTTTCTTTTCAAGAAAGCACAGATGATATTGATGGTTCTGATGAAGGGAGAGATGAAGCTGGAAAGCCCTGTTTTTCTGCAATAGAGAGAAGTGCTGGTTTTCTAGATAGGGAACTTGCTGCCAGTGGCTTTACTAGAAAGGATGAAGAAGATATTCAGAGGGTATAGTGTTTCTCTTGTTCTTGTGGGAAGGCGAGGAAAATATGGAGATCAAGTTGTTTCAGAAGGCAACATAATTTTACTTTTTATATTTTCCACTGCTTTTAGCTTAGCCCCTAACACCCACTGTGGAATCTCCATTTGGCAAAGCATATCATTATCATACATGGGGAATAAATAGAATTGTCTGTTTTTAGATATAATGCTTGGATTGTCAAACTTTCATCTTTTATTTGATTCTTCCTCAAAGCTCTTCTAATCTATTCGCAGTTCATTGAAGGCGGGGCAGAGAGTGATACAAATTCAGATAGTGAAGGGGTTGACCTAGTAGAAGATCTGAACGAAGCAGACACTTTAGATGATGGTTCTTCACATTTATTGGAACAGGTAATACTAACTTTTGTTGTTGTAAAAGAGATACAGGTAATGGACAAAGGTTTTGTTATTTATTTTATTTTTTAATAAAATCACTTAGGAGAGAAGTATATGTAAAGAGAGAGAAACAATGGCAAGCGCAAAAAAAGAGATAAAACTGTTGGAAAGAGTACTAGTTAATGCACTTAGGAAATAGTGTGGTCATGTATCGCATGATACAATGCATTTGGTAGTCATGGGTAGCAGTGACTAGGATGTTGCTCTTAATTAATAGTAGCCTTAGAAATGGTGTCCACTAAGTCTACTAATAGAGTATATGTACAAATGATATGCAGAACCTGTGTACTACTACTGCTACCCATTTCCTTTCCCCCCCCCTCTAAATTTAAAAAAACAAAATGGGCTCACCCGATTGGGGGATTTTTCCTGTGAGAAACTATGAGCTAAATCTAAGGGTGGTAGGTCTTGACTTGGGTGACAGGACAACTTGAGAAAATCCAAGACTGCATGTTCCTTCACTCCACACAGCATCCATGGAGGACTGACCAAAGTAGGTTATGCAATTATGAATTAAAGAATAATGGGCTTCTAAAATGTTAATACCCTTCACTCTAATATACAGACAGAACATATAATTTATGTTGATGGAAGGTAATGGATGTTTTCTTAGGAAAGCAATGCTGGAGAACTTAGGAAGAATACCAAACTTACTTTTTGGACTTGAGGTGGTTGAGCTTGATATTTTCATTGTTCAGAACATGAGATTAGATGTAGGATTTTCTGTAATATGCTAAGTGGACTGTGAGATGTTAATTTGAATATCCAACAGTTCTTCTTCTTCTGCAATTTGATTATAGTTTGTCCATTGACTAGTGTACATGTATATCCTGCCATAAATTTTCAGTTTATTTCATTAGTTTTACGTACAACTAGTGAAGGGTTATCATAGGTGGCCTTTATTATCTGTTCAAAGTTCAAACATATGTAAAGTTCAGAGATAGACATTACAATGTGTTATTCTGTTTTCTGCAATTTAAGGATCGCTATTCTATTTATACAAAATGAATCCATGTCTTAACCAGGACGAGGGACATGAAAGTCAGGGAAAAGAGGAGAGCTCTGAAGCATGTGAAAGCAGGAGATCTGAAAAGGACGATGCAAGTGACGAGGTAAGCAAAGCTGTATTCATTTTTTGGGTGGTTATCTCAATGTTATGGCAGTGCATCTTCCTTTTCCTCTGCATAATATTCAACTCAGAATTTCTTGCCTTTAAGGTTGACCTATGATGGTATTTTGGTAAATAGCTTATCTCTGAATGCTTGCTTGGATTAGCCTTTTTTTCCTACGGAAATTATTGCTTAATTTTTAAAAACTCACAAATGTGTCGAAAGTAAGTGATTATTTCCTCAAAATAAATTGAAATAAACATGGCATATTATGGCTATGCTCTTCTAGTGAATGTCTTCTCTAATCTTGATGCGATTTACATGGTATTCCAAATCTAGATTTTTCTCAATCCTAGGCTCATTTTTTTATTGTATCTTTGTTTAGTGTAGAACATTATTTCCTTGCATTGCCCCTATAAAAAGTTAAAAACGGGTATTTAAATAAGAACACTGGTAAAACTGCCATGTGAAGGGCACTTTGCGAATGTTACAAATGGGTTCCTTGGGTTAGTTCCAAAGGGTAGTGGTATCCCATTATCAATTTGATTTTCTTTTTGTCAAGATCCAATAGATGATTTTTTTTCTTGTCAAAATCAAAAGGGAACGAATGAGCTTTATACTATTCTAGTTTATAGAAGGCTTGTTATTTGGGCATTGCATGAAGGTGATTTTCATGTACAGGAGGAAAACAATCAAAATGCTACGGAAAATGAAGCTGAACTCGTTAAGAGCCTGAACAAGCAAAGACGACATGCCATTGCAGCAGCTCATAGGGGACGAAAGACTCTTGCGTCCAGGAATTCCTACAAAGACAAGGGTGGTAGGTCATCTCACAACTCAAAAATCCAGAAACAGTTGAGCAGCTGGTGAGATATGGGAGACAAAACCCATGTGATTGAGCTCATGAAGTGAACTGAAAAAGACTTGATATAGTTTAGACGGTAGGCCATCTTAAGTGGCCTTTATTATTTGTTCACATACGGTTCAAATATATTATGTAAAATTTGGAGATAGGAAAACAAATAGGATATTGCTGGGTCCCCCACATCCCCGTGAAGAGGATAATCATATTCTTTTTGCGTGTTATATTTATTTTGAATGAAAATTTTGCTTCTATATTGGAAAGTTTTCTGTCATTATTGCACATTTTTTGGTTGGACGTTGAAATCTATGCTATGATTTAATCCCTTTGAAGCAATGCATCTCAACATCTTATTAAATATGAACAGGCAAGAAAATTGAGAACTTATGTGAATATCTTTGTTAGTTAGAACTATTAATTCACAAGTTTAATTTGAAGAAGTATTTTAATGGATTCACTCTTAGAAAGAAGCTAATTTTGAAGTTGTTTTGCAAAAATGGTACAAAGGTAGTTTTGTTAAGATGAGAAATCGAGATGTTAATGTTGAAGATAAGGGTAATTTTAAAATAGAAGTTATATAAATTAAAATGAGTGGTATAAAAAGAAAAACATGAGGTGTTCATTATGCAATTGCTTAGATAAGGAGTGAAACAGAGAAGAAAAAAACAGAAAGAAATGTGAATGTAAGAAATGAAATAAAAATACAGTAAAATATATATATATATATATATATATATATATATATATATATATATTATTTAGATGAATTGAAATAGGAGAAAAAATTAAAAAAAAAACACTTGTTTAGATAAGGAGTGAAATAGAGACGAAAAAAAGAGGAAAATAAGAAATAAAATAAAAATGTTCACAAAGTAAATTTATATTCTAGGAAAAGAGCAAGAGAATGGACAGAAGACCAATGCCAAGCCAGGGTCCTCTCCTCTTAGCTGGACAGATTCTATCTCTGGGTCGTCGGAATGATTACGTGCCCAATTCTGCAGAAAGTAATATCTATGTTAATTTGTATCCGAGTAGAAAGGAACCAAATAAAATATCAACGTTACAATCAGATTATTCCTCAAGTTATGAGATAATATTTGCAATGTATCAAAAAGCATTCAAGACAGAAAAATGTATTTACTACCGAATGACCCAAGCCTTTAAGTAGAGTAACTAATGACATCCTTCATGTATTAACCTTAACACTTTTCTGTGAAATATTTAACAAGTAAACAAAAATCTGTATGCCCTCAGATTCAAGCAATCTAGCAGCCTCTATTCCCTAAATGAAAATACTTATTGTATGACTCAGTTTAGTTAAATCTTTAAAAAATACCTATTAAAAAAAAGGTAAAATGTATAAATAAATTTTACAGTTTAAAATTAACTTATACTTTTTGAAGAAGTTAAATGATTTTTTTAAAAAAAATAAAAGAATGAGTTAATTTTAAATTATAAAAATTAATTTATTTAATTTTCTTATTTTATCTCCTAAAAGTATTTATTAAAATGTTATTTATATGTGCAATGCCTAATTTTTACTAAGGCTCTATCTCACTAAGTCAAAATAGAAATCTCTATAAAGCAATGCACCAACATATACGTGTACATAAAGTACAAATATATATAAGGATATCCTTCCCTTTAAGAGAAAAATTTTCAAATAATTGCCACGTGAATTGTAGTGATTCATGGTGGGAAGGTTGCTCATAAATGAGGTAACTGGAAAAACAAAAAGGCTTGGGTATATTCTGACTAGGGTTAAGTGGGTTGATGGTAGAGAGAGAGTCATTAATAACGGCTAGGGAATGCAAAAAGTCACACGTGTAACTACTTCCTCAAGTGAAAAAAATACAATATAAACAAATAAAATGGATCAGGAGATTAACAATAGCAACAATAATAATAATAATAACAATAATAATAAAGCAGGATCCACTTACTTTTAATCAAAGGACAATTTTGTCCGAGGATTTGTCTTGCTATCCTAGAGTTTCCAAAATATTCCACTACACGACCATGAAGACATATGTATATAAAAAGTACATCAAACATTATCACATCTTTGCACAAAAAAAAAATTATGCAAGCAAGAAACACAAACCAATTGGACAATCAACACAATAATAAAAAAAAAATGAGCTAAAAATCAATCAATCTCAGAAAATATCTTAATTCATAACAAGAACTAAATTCGAGTAAAAAGAATGAAGTGAAGAGTCACTAAATAACAACGAACAATTCATGACGAGTAAACCGAAATTGGGGATGTTACAATATGTATCTCCTAAAAGTATTTATTAAGATGTTATTTATATGTATATCTATCTTTTCATACTTTTGTGGCAAACAAGGGAATTGATTTTTTAATGTTAGATTTCTGCATAACCTTATCATGAGGGGGAAAAACCGTCTCTATTGCTCAATTTTTACAAATTCTGCCTCACTTATTTAATGTTTTAGAGATAAAATGATGGATATAATTTTTTTACAAAGGTCATGTGAAAATCTCAAACGTGACAAGATCCATTTCCAACAAACTAGAATGTTAACCATGCCATACAACAGCAATCAACTATTTAAAGAGTGACTTCGAATAAAAGATTCAAACCAATGCACTAATTAGACAACAAATCATAATGGTGTAATTGGATTTACACTTCTAAAAAATATGATTCACCAGTTTCAGAGGTCATATAGCAGTAACAGATACAATTTCCTTGGCCAATTGATAAATGAACCAAAAACAAGGATGAACTTATCGAGCTTGAAGTGATGAAATCAACAGGAGACTTCTATTTGACTTGGACAAGATAATTTCTAAACGAATAAAAATTTGAATCTAAAGGAAGTTTCAAAAGTCACCTGTAAGGTTTTGTCTATCAAATTCTTCCTTTCTCGTGCATTTGAAACGTGGCAAACAATTGCCAATACTTCAATTCACTTAATTTTAATTATATAACAATATATAATAACATATATATAAACTCCCACCATAACCTCATCGCTGGTCCTAAGTCTAGGTAAAGGAGAATAGTTGTGTTAGGCCTTCAGCAGCCAATATAAAACTTGTCAAAACCTTTTATATGAATTACACACGATGACACTAAGTTCAATGGCGTCGTATAATTCAAGTAGCCAACTTCACCTAATGAGATAAGACTTGGTTGTTATTGTTACATAATAACATATATAACAACCAGGGTATGAAGCAAAAAGTCAAATGCATATGAACAAGCCATAAGCCTTACAAATAAAGCATACATGCATCAACCAAAAAAAAAAAAAAGGAATTATCGCACTCACTAATTATCAGCAATTGCTAAGCAAGAACCTGCAGCTCCTAATAGTGTTGCTATCAGAGTTGATCAGAAGAGTTATAGTCACAAGCAACTCATCTCATTGGCACAGAAGATTTCTGATCTCTTGTGCGACAATGATGTGAAATCAGTGAGTTACAGATTAAAATTCCACTACTATAATATCGGCTATTTAACAATTTATGAAAGATAAAAAGTTGATGAAAGATCACAGCAAAAGATTTAACAAAACCATCCAGTGACTGAAATCAAATATCAGCAGCTTGTGCAAGCCAATCTGCTATTATATCTCTTTATGTACTTGGAAAACAAATACATAACTTCCCAGCGTGAAACATATCAGCCCCAATTAATTATTTCACTAAGCAAATATAAAATAACACAGGACAAGGGCATATCAATATTAGTATATTACAATTAATTATATCAGAACTGACCTTCAGATAAAGTGTCAACTTGAAGTCTGTTTTGCCAATTGAAAATTGCATTACATGAACTTGCATATACTGTTGTTGAGCTATGTTTAAGCTAGAGCCAAAGCATGATTAAAATTGCTTGACTTGCTTCCATAAACTAACAGCCCAGAGACATTATGGTTGACAAACAAGGTATTTGGTACAAAGGCTAAGCACATTCATGAACATCAAACTGATAATCCACCACCAAGCAAGTTACAAATTAATCAAACTGGGTTCTCAATTTATTTGTTGATTTCTTAACACAACTAAGCTTCTATTAAGCCCTTATATTCAACATCCACCCATTCCCTCCAATCTTGCCAAAATGTGACATTGAAGGCAACAGAATCCATAAGTAAAAAGCCAGCACTTTCAGGACTGTATGTAGAAAAAGATAAATCAATATTACTATTGTTATCAATAATAACAAAAATATTATCAATATTTAGAACAGTTCATCACATTTTTAGTGCCTAATAGCTCCTTGTATATTGTGTGAGGCACAGACTTCTACACAACCCATGTTAAATGAGTCAACTATCAATTCATAGTATGTGCCTCAGTTGACATCAAACTCTCGGTACTAATTACAAACTCGAAAATCCTCAATTTTAAGAAACCAACTTAAGGAAAAGCAGCATTAAACCAATTCGCAAGTCTGTACCTCACTTGATATCAAACATTAGCACTTACTTGGATTTTAGCAACAACAGATTCACAGGGACACGAAATAACTATAAATCACCAAGAAAACAAGATTCATGAATGGGATTCATTAAGATTAGGGAAATTGAAAATAGGATTGGGATTAAGATTAATCTTACCAGAAAATAGAAGCAGCAAAAGAGACGTCTCACAGATACTTCAGAAATCAAAATTGCTGCAGCAATCACAAAGGGATGGAAAGTAGGATTCTTCTTTTCTCACCAATTGTGCGTCACTCCAATCGCAAGGAGACAACATCAGAAAATAGAAATTGTGTTTTTTTGGGGTCAGGCTAACCCATGGATATCCTCACCCTGACCCACATAGAAATTACAGCATCTTGTTACACAAAGTCCAGCATCTTTCCTCACTATTCAATCAAGCTTGAGTATCTTCTTAGTAATTCCAAAGACAAATCTTTTCCATATCCCTTCTCAAGACACTTCCTTACCTTCATGTACACCGAAAAATTAGGTTTAAGACCCTTGTCCATCATCTCAGAAAGAACCTTATGGGCAAACAGCACATTTCCATTCTTCAAATGAAGGGTAGCAAGTAAGCTGTAGTTTGCATTGCTGGAATAGCTCAGCTTACCTGCAGAACCAATCACATACTTATGTGCTTCCTCATATCTTCCTGATTCAAAATAGGACTTGATTACTGCAGCATGAGTTAAAATCCTAGGTTCAATACCCTTCAAATTCATTTTCTCAAGAAGTTTCAACACTAAATCAAATTGGTGACGTTTACATAAAAAGTTAATAACAATATCAAAGGTATGCACATCGAGTAAAACAGAGTCTTTTTCCATAGTTTCAAATACGTGGCAAGCTTCATCAATCTTACCATTCTTGCATAAACAGCTGAGCAACAAATTATAAGTACTCCCGTTCACATCACAACCACTTCTCTTCATCTCCTTCACCAAATCTCCTACTCTTTCACAATCACCTTTCTTGCACATTATCCTCATCAATACATGATAATGCTTCACCTTCCTCCCAGCTATTCTTATCACAAACTCAGCTATCTCAAAAGAACCCGAAACACCAAACATCTCAATCAACAACGGAACTCCACAACTTTGATACACCCCACCAACCTCATTGAACACATCCATAACTTTCCTTACACATTCCATGGTAGAAGCCTTGTCCAAATCAAAATCCAGCAAGAACCCAAAAGCCTTCATTCCCAAAAACACCCCGTTAAGATTAAACTCACACAAAATGGGGACCGTTGCCTCATAATTTCCCAATAGCCCACAGTTATTAACAAATAAGCTACCTATATCAGGATCACAACAAAGTTTAGGATTTGAACATTTAAGCCAATCAAAGAACCTCAATGCTGACACTCTCTCACTTGATAATTTCTGAAAAATGTTAATAACTGATGCCTCAGACAAAGACACATTCATCGTATTCAACTTAGCCCCCAAATCATCAACATCCTCACGAATCAATGCAATGATTTGAGAAACTTGCTCTGAAGCAACATGCGGACTACCCCAGTAAGGTGTATTCGTATACGTGCAAACATACCTAGGAACATGGACATGCGAACCAAACATGAAGCACGAGTGTCCAACATCAATATAAGAGTGAAAAGTGGAAGAACTCGCAAAAGGGTGTTTGGGGGAGAAAAGAGAGGAACCCCCAATTGAAAAAAGGAAGGAACTTGGCATGTGGGGAAGTGGGGTGTTGTGGAAGAAGTGAGAGAAGAGAAAGGCGGAGTTAGGAGTTGAGAAGAACCTGAGGATGTTGCAGAGCTTTCGAATTCCCATAGGAAAGAGAGAGCTATTGTCGAAATCAAAGGTATCACCTGGTACCAGTTAGGGGAAATATATGTAACATGGATGTATTGTTTGTTGGTGCTTGCTAGTGGCCATAAATTTGAGGGGTATTAAAAATTAATATATTGAATATTTATTTTTATTGTTAATTTTTTTTAATGCAAAAACATCTTTCAGAATTTTTGTTAATACATAAAGATTCCTTTCTATCTTTGATTGTTGTTACGTTAATGGCATCTATGTTATTCTCCAGTTCGTAATCTCTTTTCTGTAACCTTTCAACTATCAACTTGAAAAACACCACTCCAATTCCATCTCTAGATTTCTTCTGCAGAGTAGGAAAAAGCAACCGTTCCATCGATTTCTTTGATTTTTTGTTCTATTGTATTTTAAGCTTGGCCAAATTGGTGGATCAAGATTAGCAATGTGAATGAGTGTGCTGCAGTTGAGGGGAGTGATGATGGGTTTTGGAAGTGACGGTGCTATGCAACTCTTCCTTAATTGAAAGAACGAAAAAGCTCTTAGAACGTTTTCTTGTTGCTTACATAATTATTTCTTTAAGATGTTTTTGAAAGGTAGACTTTGAATGCTCATAAGGGTATACCCTCTAACAACTTTATATAAATATTTTTTTCTAGTTATAGAAAAGAGCTTTGAATCCCTCCGTTATGTGGACTAAATCCATTTCTTCGAATTTCATTTTCATGATATTTATCTTTATAAAATTTGATGATAACTATTTTTGTTCCTTTATGTTGCCTTTTTCGTCATGTCATTGTTGGGAGTGGTTATGTTATGACTGTAGTGACTGCCAAATTGCCGTAATCTTAAATAATTAATCTGAAAAAAAAAAAATATATATTTTTTAGCATATAAATGGGATTTTTATTTAATTATTTTTTTAAAATTAATTTCATGTCTACAAAAATAATTGCAGTCACATATCGTTAGTATAGTCATTGATGCTAGCAAAACTTATTTTATTTTTTTAATTTAAAGATGCATTGTCACAAAAATACATGATAGTTAAGATTATGTCAAGTGTTTAAAAGAAAAGAAAGTTTTGTCATAATATTGGTGATAATAAATAAAGTTTTGCAATTAATAAAACAAAATATGTAAGACACTTATGCATGTTATTATTCTCAAAGTTTTGTCATAGGAACTTTGAGATATCTTTCATCACATAATATTTTTAATGCATTCGTCACATCCTCTCTAGTGTCAAATTACAAGTTAGCAAATAAAGAATCTCCTTTCACTTCGTAGAATGACCTCTTTAAAATCTTCTTAGGTTATCTCTTAATTAGGATGTTTCCAATTAATATACTTATAGCATGAGTTACATTTCAAAAATGATTTTCACCATCTCCTACATTACAATAAAATTATTGTGTTCATTACTAATTACATAATTAAATTAAAAAAACTAATGTTTAGCATTCATTCACAATTATCTCCTTATGTTTCTTGTTGTGGTATATGCAAGTTGGAATCAAAATTGTCCTCCACATCAATATTATAAGAAATGTCTAACATAATTTCTCCTCCAATATCACTATTAGAACCATAATATGAGTTTTCATATTAATGTAGTAATCAAAATTCACAATATTTTTATGACTTTTTTGCCTAAATGGTTGATTTGAGAAACTAATTCTTAATATAGGTTCATAAGGAAACAAATTTTCTCTCTAAGTTAGGAATAAGTAAGTTTCATAAAAAGTTTTATCAACACATTTAATTTTTTTTATTGTTAGTGTTGGTTTAATAAATAGTGACACTAATTTTTTAAATATAAGAATAGCAGTATCAGATGGGTAAAAATCAACACTTCTCTTTCAGCTAACACATGTCATGTCTGTTGTTAAATAACAATACGACACTTGTATGTCAGCTAAGACAAGTCTGAATACTTGTGTATCAGTTTAGTAAGTTTTAACACTTTTGTATCAACCACTGTAAATTTGGTTACTATCTAGGCTTTTAACCTGCCGTCTACATCCAATACACCTTTTTACTCTAAGGTTTTTACCCAATTTAAAGTGTATATATACTCAAAAATTTTTGTACTATTGGCAAGTTAGGAGAAGGTTATCTAGAAAGAATTCAGATTTTAAAATTTTTAATTAAAATTTAAATTTCATTAATAATACTTTGAAAGAAAAATTATGTAATTTTAATAATATTATAATATAAATAAAATAAATTATAATGTATTTAAGGTTGTATTTAGAGTAAAAATAATATTTATTATATGTGATTATTAGTTTTTGAAATTAAAAAAATTATTGTGTTATGAATAAAATTTATTAACTATAATATTCAATATGTGAAATAAATGCATTTTAAATTAGTTTGTTTAATATTCTTTATTAGTGTTTGTTTAAGTAATTAATCTTTTTTATTAATTATATTATAATTAAATTTTTTATATGCAAGGTGGCTAAAATTATAGTTATTTTATACTCGAATGAAAGAGTGTATGAAGGAAATAAGGGTATAATTTTTTAAGAAAACAAAAATATAATTAAAATAAAACGTGAGATTACTTTCGAGATGTTAAAAAGAAAGATACATACAAAATTGAGATTGTTTAGTAGTAACGTAATTTTTAAACTGATTTCATGAATTTTAATTGATGTAAGAGGGTGAAAACCACATAATTTTAAATGTATGTGATGATAAAGACATTGATTGCATAAAAAGTGTATGCCAACAACGATATCAAATAAATGTAGTTGAGTTATATGTGGATGTTGCAGTTGATCAAACTTCTCATGTTATTGCACAACCGTTAGCTTTAAATTTGTCATTCTCACCTGTTAATACTTTGATAGCGATCAAATATCAAACATATTCATGTCTTCTCAATAAAATTAAGATGAATCATCGCTAAGAACCATTTTTATACTGATAAGGTTTCTCCTTCCACAATGGCAAACGCCATAGGGTGACAACCTCTAGATGCTTACCATATTCATTGCATTCATCATATTGCAAGCAATTTCAATTGAAGATTCAAGAACAACACCTTGAAGAGTAATCTTATCAAATTAGGTAAATTTTTTATAAAATGTGTTTATTTGAATTAATTAATAAATTTATATGTTTAACCTTTAACACATTATTTTCTTTTAATATAGCATATACACCTTGTAAACAAAGATTTGAAACGAAGCTTAATACATTTTGTTCCCATTCTCACAAAATTCAAATTTGGATTGACAACATATCAAAGGAAAAGTGGAGTTTGACTTATGTTGATGAAGAGCGTCATTATGGCCACATGATAACTAATTTGTTAGAGTATGCGAATAAGGTTTTAAAAGGGACAAGAAACCTCCCAAATATTGCCCTAGTGAAAGCAACGTATGCAAGATTAGTGGAGTATTGTGTTAAGCATGGTGAAAGCGTAATGACTGACATGAATAATGGATTAAGATATTGTTATAAATTAATTGAAGTCATAAAAAAAAAATTAACAAGAAGCATCTTCACATTAGGTTTGTCGCTATGATATACAAAGAATAAGGTTTGAGGTTGAAGAGGCTTTTAATCTTATGACACAAAAGGGTAGTCATAAGTGTAGTGTGATATTATCTATACAATTTTGTAAATGTGAAAATTTTTAAGTGTATCGATGTCCATGTTCACATGTCATAGTTGCCAGTACTACTCTGAGTATAAACTTTTGGTAATATGTTGACTATGCTTATTCTTTGCAATATGTTATAAATGCATACTCAACTCACTGGTGGCCACTTAGAAATGAAAATAATATCTTACAAAATAATGAGTGAAAGTTGTTGTCAGATCATGATAAAGCACGAGCTAAAGGACGACTAAAGGATTCTAGAATTAGAAATAAAATGATATAGGTTGAGTCACAACTGTGACAATGATGTAGGTTATGTCAATAACCTGGTCACAACTAATATCATTATTCTCGACAATCCGATGTATCTGATAAAATACTAAAAACAATATTATTCAAAATGATAAAATGTATTTGATACAACATGATATCATAGCCTTCAATCAAAATCTAACGATTGGTCCTAATGTCCCTCCTCATAAGGTGTGAGAATGCGCTGTCGATGATGATCTCAAGCTCCACGATGGGGGTTACGTTGCACATCCTGTACTGCTAAATCTGAAATACCAATAAATTTGGTATTAAGATCAATGTCACTATCCTTCCCTTCCAGCAATGATGATGTCTCCCCACCATGTCCACTCTGCTAAATTCCTAAATCTTGTGTATTTGGTGTGAAAAACGATAACTCATATGAAGAATGTGTCATGAAAAGGCTAGCCTCAGGAACATAAAATTCATTAATGATAAATGGAGATGCAAGAAGGACATTTGTGAACTATGATGAGTGAACATAAGAACACAATGTCCCTTGTAAAGGGTGAAAAGGAAACAGTGGAGAGACATAATAAACACCATCTCTATGTTCGGGCAAAAAGGGTTGGGTAAAATCTGTGGCCTGCAGTATAAAAAATTGTGAAGTTTATAAATTCATAAAAATTGATATTATTTACAATTCTTTATTCATGTTAACTATAATATATTTAAAGTTATGTTCGCCAACATTGTGTACCCTGACCAATGTCAATTTGGAGCTCATCTGGATGAATGCTTACTCTGGATAGAAGGCTCAAATGTGACAAAGGCTCCAAGATGCGTTCCTGCTTCTTTTGTAATGATAACATTGTCTCACATAACTCTTTCGTCTCCTCAAATGAAGATGAGTCCTTACCATCACTATATAAGTAATATGTCCTCTCATAAGCAGCTCCTTGCAACAACAATACATATCCTATTATAATCCATTAAACAAAGTAATATACATGCAAGGTTAAAATTACTTACAAGTAATGCAAACAATATTGCATTCTTGCTCATCTACCATTTGATATGAGTAATGTACCACTACATGTATTCTGCGTTCGAACTCAATAGACCAATTTGTGAGTTGTTACTTATTACCCAGTCTAATCTCTTGTCCCAAAGCTCCACTGCACTCCTAAACT